TTGCTTCCTGTAATTTCTGCTGTTTTGGAATATTCAGGCTAAGTAGATGATACTAATTTGATGATAGTAGATTATAGTATTTTGGCCACGTTGAAGTCAATGGCACAACATTCATTTAGGTCAGCTAGGCATCATTCCACTTATGACCCAATTTAGGGATTTGATCCATGACTCGTAGTCAATGATATTCCACACTGAAATGCAATGAAATGGAATTTGAGACTATCAGAGTCTCCAGACAGACTGCTTACTCAAAAAACAGCCCATTCATGATGAGATTTAAACAAAGGTTTTAGTCTGAACCAAAGCTAAAAGGGAGTCCAGAGAAAGGAAAACTTATGATAACCTGATCATAGAAGTGTTAAGATGCAGTACTTACCCTCCTGAAGAAAATAAATTTATGTGTAATTAAAAAGAAATAATTTTGATAAATAACTTTTGTGTCACCTAAATAAATATCACAGTTTCTACTTAGAAAATATTCCAACATATGTGACCCAACATATGGGCCACTCACAAAGGGGCTAATTTTGTAACTTACAGAAATATTGAGGTAACATATTTTTATCCTTGATCTTGGACTGTGTACTTCAAATGCTTTCAGCAAATGCAGTATTATATTCCAGATTGTGTATGTTCACGTTCATCAAATAAATGGCGTCTCTAAGACTAATAATGGAAATAATCGACCATCAGGAGGAGCCAGGACTCCCCTAGCAGTCACATCATTAAGTTTCAACATCAAGTGAAACTGTTTTTATGGTTTAAAAATAAAAACAACAAAAAAAAGTATCTGATCCATGACTGCATCTTTACCAATCAGTTACCAATAACTTTATAAAACCTGAAGTGCATTTTTTGTTTTATTTGCATCCTGACACTGTCAGAATAGTACTGTACTGTCAAATGAATTGCACTATATATATTACATATAATTGAGGATCCTGTACAGAAATTCAATTCTGGATCTGACAAATTAACTGTTCAAAGATAAATCCAATAAGGACCGCATGCCGACTGCGTGCTAAGAGGGTGAAAGAAACCAATCTGACCGTGATACTGAAGCTCATCTCCACAGGCATTACTCCTGGAAAAAGCCTACCGGGAGCAACAGAGGCATTTAGGTATGCTCAGAGACTATAGATTCATGTGATTTGATAGAACTCTGAAAGCCAAGACCCAGGTGCATCTCCCCAGGGCCAACATCACTTAGTTATGAAGTAAGTAAATAACTGAAATGTCTTCCTCGACATTTATTTTTCTTAGGCTTCCAAATATGATTCTGATATGTGAGCATTTAAATAAAGCCTGCCTTTTTAAAATATGTAAAAATCTTAGTGCTCTCATAATTGGACAGTTCAAACTACAATATGGTATAATCAACTACAATATGGTATTATCAACATTTGATGCAGGGAGAAAAAGGAAGCAAAGTTAAGATAAAGTACTGAGACTAGCTTTCATGTGCATCTTTATGAAAGCATAACTGAAAGTGCCAGAATACTCTTCAATACAATGTACCTTAACAGACATGCTTTTCAAAAAGGTCTCACAATTCTCAAATTTTAATGACAGTCTTAAACATTACTATGTGGAGAAAGGGGAGGTTAATGTCTGTGTCTACGTAGTGACCATTCTTCCTCTGGATGCTAGCAACAAAAGAGAATTTTGAGGATAACTCTGCACACCCACAAAATCATTTAATATTATAAAATTGCACTCATATTCTTCACACGTGGAGCCAAACTAGTCTCAATGGGAACACTTGTGTAAGAAAAAAAAAAAAAGATCTATTTAATGACCGATTTGACTTAAGAGCAGCACAGACATAATAGTGGACTTTATCCTTTAATAGACAGAGGCAAGTTTTTTTTTTTTCACTTTTATTATCACCAGGCCTCCATGATATTGTTGCTTCTCCATACCACCACTGTCATTTTATGGATGGTGCCACTGAAATTTATTCTACAAAGTCCCAGATCTGCATCTTTCAGTCGGCATTCTTGTCAACCATATGCATGTTTATTCAGCTTTCTGCTGTGCCTCAGGTTACTATTCATACAGACCAAAATCTCAATACATAGTCATTCAGCTCCATAGCTGGGATACCTCCTGTCTGGTACTAACTTTGGTCAAGTGGTCATGTAACTTATCATCTAAAACTCAACAAAACAATTACTTGATTGAAAATTGGAGATTTGCCGTACCTTAGTCTTTCCTACCTTCTTGTTTTCATAGACACTGATTTTGCTTTTATATTATTTTTAGCATAATAACTTTAATGCATTTGCCCTCACAACATCATCTAAAAATAAAGAACAGAGTTCTCTTCTACCTTTTTACATCTGTACAAGGACATACAATGCAACAAAATGTGTGATTCTGTGTGATTCTGTGTGAAATCTAAATAATAGATGATGCATTCTTTGAACCGGGAAACTACAGTACAGAAAAGAAATAGCTCCTAAATCTTGCATATAACAATGACAGCAATGATGCTGTTATGAATGTAAGGGCATAGGATAAGTTGTGTTCCAAAAGCAGCATAGATGATGCTCCCACCAGATGATTCTATCCACCCTAACTCCTCAAAAAACAAACAAAAAGTTGGTTTATAGGCTATTGTGGCATTCCATGTAGCACTTTCAGTAAGGGATTTTAAAGTCTCTTTCTACTTCCACAAACACACAGTCAGTCTTAATTCTTACCTTCAGCTGCCCTAAAACATCTGACAGAGAAAAGCCTTTTTATTTGTTCTGATTCTAGAGTGTAAATCCTGGAAATAAAAGGAAAATGCTGAAACTTATTCTGGCAGGTACAGACTGTACAGACATCAATACTTTTATTTTTTCAAACATACGATCAAAAATAGCTTCAGAGAGAAGCCAATTTGAGAGAACGATACTTGGAAACCAAAGTTTCACTAACATGTCAGTGTATATTAACTTGTTTAATATTTCCTTTAACATGGCATTCCACCTAGACAGGGGTGAGACCTAAGACTGAACGGAAAAAAACAACTGCTGCTAGTAAATGACAGCCAAGTTATGGTTAGTGAGACCACAAAATATTAATACCTTTATTGTGCTAGAGGCCTGTTTTGACATATTAATGACTGGCCAAGAAAGAGCTATTTTTATCTACGTCATAATGAGATATCACAACGTGCTCCAAAGGATGTGAAATGTACATATGGGAGGCACATGACAGCAGGGTAAGGCAGGGAAATAATGGTAAGATTGGAAGGAAAGGCAAGAACCCCTTTATATTGAAAACCAGCAAGGGTACCTGCAATCTGTACAAAGAAACTCACTGCACTTTTGACATTGTCTAATGCTTACCACCCAAATAAAACAGTAATTACATGCACATTTCAATATCATAAGCCAAAACTCTGATCCCAGCTCCCACAAACCAACTGAAGCATATTTCAAGACAATTCCATTTGTAATAAAAAACAGATGGTAAAGGAAACAGATGTCTCCCTGTGATCTGATTTACACATCTGCAGACATTTACGATATGTATGAATTTCCAAAGAATGCTGAGCAAGTTAAATTGGGAAATAGGATTATTTTTTTTTTTCTTAATGGGCACGCGCAAAGAGTGTGACTCAAGAAGAAAATAAGCTGTGACAAATACACACCTATCCTAGCAAGCCTATCTGTCTCCAAACCAATATCATATTACAGCACCATGTTAAAGAAACACCAATTGTGATAAAAATCAGACAACTTTGGAAATAGTTTACTGCAGGGAAACATCCCTCAAATGTGAGGTAGCTAAGGGATGGGTGATTTTCAGATTTCTCCCTCTCTGAAAGAAGACCTGAGGTTAGCATTGGTTGTCCTTCAGAAATTAATTATACAGAAAAGCAAAACATCCCTCAGCAACACAAACCTGGACATTTATTTAAGATCATCTAAATCTCAGATTGCCATTTTATGCAGACATCAACAATAAGCCATTGACAATGACATCAAATATTTGCACTGGTCTCAGTGAAATTACGCACAAGAATCAGCAGAGAAATGTGTTACAACAAAGAAGGATGGAAGAGTCTCACTCAAAAAGAGAAAATCCTTGCAGAACCTCTTAGACAAGAGGTACAGGATAATGCAGCACAAGGAGCCAAGATGTTAACAACCTTTAAAATTAAGTTAGGTGGAAGCAAGTCAAAACTACACAAAATCTTCTCCAAATTTAACAGCTCATTTGGGAGATCTTGTTGGTTTCTTAGATTTTGTCCCATTTCTTTTTGTCTGGATAGCTTACTTCAGGCTCCCAAAGGGTACTACATTGTCAGGCACAGAGGATTAAGTCTTCTTTTTCATCAAAGCACAAAAGCCAATTTAAGTGTCACACCTCTGAGCTGAAGGAACCGTATCCCATAATGATATTCAATATCCATGTCCATTCCAGTCCTGGGCCTGTCTGCTGAGACTGTAAATAG